TTAATATGATTCTCTCAGTCTTCCCTCAGCAATTTGCTCGGACAAGAAAAATATAATTATGCAGTTACTTTGGCCAAGTTTCCTGGGCAAGAAATATATAATTATGCAGATACTTTGGCCAATTTGCTTGCGAAAGAAAAATATAATTATGCAGATACTTTGGCCAATTTGATTGTGAAAGAAAAATATAATTATGCAGATACTTTGGCAAAATGAAATTACCATAGCAATGCAATAGTTGATCCTGATGGCTACAATGACTGATCTTGAGTAAAGCAACAACATAAAGTGCAATTACTTTAGATTAATTGCGACAGGCTACAACGAAGAAGCAAGCAATTTACACGTGGGTATCAACCTCATTCCCGAATGCCGCCGAATCGGTATATCGCACCGAATTTAATAATTCTGGAAGTCTGAAGCAGGGGTGTGCAGACTGCGGAGTGCAAACAAGGAAAAACCGTGCGATCTCCGGAGAAGTGCCACATTTGAATAATGTGCCCGCGAAATGAGTTTTTAGTTTAGTTAATCTGGTACGTGCGAGCAATTCCAATCCTATTGCGTCGCAAAGTCTATACCAGTACGGAATGCCACTGTCATATTAGCAAAACTTACTAGTAGGGCTGGGCATTTTCGAATACCTTGTGATTTCAGAATCGAATCGAATAATTTTTTTCGAATAGAATCGAATCTCGAATACTTGAAAATATTGTAAGCGACTTTATTATAGTAATTGATCCTCTCAACAAATGAACTACTGAAGACATAGAATAAATCACCCAGATAGATTACTGAGCGTTCACACAGAATAACAAACACGTTTTATCAATAACTCACTACAGAAAATAGTCATATGTTAGAATTTCGTTGAAAAAATATGACTCCAATGAGAAAAAAATTGGGGAATTCACCTCGATCATTAGCGGAAAGATAAAAACAAGATGGCGGCGATTCGAAATTTAGCTCTGAACCGATTCAAATAATTTACTATTCGATTCGAAATGCCCAGCCCTACTTATTAGCAAAATCCCAGCAGCATCCTAGCTAGCAAAAGACACAATGTTATAAAGTCTGAAAAACAGATTTCTTTAAAAATCTATGCGTATTTAACTCACCATTTCGACAAGGGCCTCTAACAATTGCGAGGGCTCAATAACAAAAATAAACAATTTTTAGTGCTTGCAACTACTAAAAAGAAAATCTTGAACAAAGGCGCGGCCCGCTGCTCCACCCGGTTACTTGTATCTCTCCCTTCTGTAATGAAGGTTGCACACCCCTGGTTTTAAGCATATCAAATAAGATCACGGTAAATGTTCAACAAAATATGGGTGGAATATAACCAAATGCATTTTCTTTAATAAATTACTGAAGTGCTGATTTCGATTTTTTTTTACGTAAAACGTAACTCTTACCTTCCGAAATAGATGCACAATAAACATGTAAAATGCTGACGGATCACGGGTATTGCTCGTCTTTTAGCAGAACCCTGGTATCTTTTGACACACAACTCAATCCAATGTCAGTTGAGTTAAACTTCATCGAATCTGAATGTGTAGCACAAAAGATACTCATTACAATAACAATGTAATAGGCAGCCTGACACAGACTTGGCGGTGTCCCAATGATAAAAATTTAACTTTTGTTAGTTGGCATTCGAAATGCGATAAGTTTGGAATGTTCAGAAATAAATAGGAGGAATATACCATATCGCCATTTTTGTTAATATTATATTTCCGAGGTGCTAAAAATAAAAAGGAAGGAATTTTGCTGAGCGGATGTTGTCGAACGATAGCGTCGCTGAGTATACCTCGCAGTTGGAAAGTTATCCATGTCGTGTAATATTTAAACTTTAAAGCATTTGTAAATGTATACTGAGCACTGAACCAGCTGATTTGCTAACATAGTAGTTAATTTGAGTTCTAAATGGAGCAATAAATATTCATAATATGCTTCCTGTACCATGGCAAGAGAATGGATTTTTAACAAATACCCATTACGATACGGATATTTTCGGCCATTAAACGAGAATTATTTTTTCTGTCAGTCTGAGAGAAACGTAAATCTTACCTTCCAAAATGAATTGACAATTCTACACGTGAAAATGCTATCGAGCGGGTCATCACGAATTAACCTCGTCTTGAAAGAGAAACGAGATCTTCTGACGTACAGCTTTACCCAAGTTAACTTCTAACATAATTCATCTATATCTGAAATCATAGCACAAGTAGACACATTAGTGAATTTGAAAACGCACGAAGCATACAGTAGGTATTATTATATTAGTTGTGGCGCTTTTAATTTCTAGGATTATGTGCGCCACACTGAAAAGAATTTACGTAAAAAACATGTAGCCCACTACTCACTCAGCGACGTCTCGACGTTCAAATGACTTGAGACTCGAATAAAGTGATAACATTAGGGCAATTATTATTATCTGATTGGGTCAGGTGACAACACGTGGTCATCCAAGAAAATATAAACAAACAACTGTGTTTTGTGTCATCGCATTTACGTTAGAATTACAATTTATGTCCGCCAAATCAATATTTTATACTTTAAAGCAGAGTTGTGCAACCTGCTGCTCAAATAGAAAATTGTGCGGCCTGCGGAAAAGTTCGGAATGGTGTGCTTGGTAAATTATCGTACCGCATATGATTTTCGGGGAATCGATGATAAGATATTTTGTTTCGCCTTGCGTGTCTTTATCTTATATAAAATGTATTATTCATTAATCATGCAAACTGAGCTAAGTGATTTGCGTGCCACACTAACATTATTATCCTAGGCTGGGTCAGAAACTATCGTCCTGCGGGCCGCAATTGCCCCAACAAACCGGGACACGAGTTTGAGACCACTGTTCTAATTTCTTTGCGTTGCAAAGATTATACTTGAGTCCAACTTAATATGTATGAATATGGCATTACAATGCCCTAACAGCTAGCTTGTGCGAAGCGAACAACGTATGTCATAAAATCGAGAACCAAAATTTTTGTTTTCGCAACTACTAGGAATCATATGTTCTATAAAGATGCGCTTTCACCCATCACCCTTCTGTATTAAAATTTGCATGCCCCGTTAAAAAAGGGTTTCTGATAACAAATCAACGGTCCGAATGGGAATTCTGTTCTTATTAATTTATCCCTCGGCCTGACTTTTAATATAACATTTAACAGCGAAATATTCACGTAACTAGACCGCGCTATTTAAAAAAAGCTCTCAATTAGTGACAAAATAGCAACTCAAAGAATATTTTCAAGCAATAGCCAAGTCGTCATATATACATAAATATGCAGAAATGTCAGTGATGAATCAAAAAAGGGCATATCCATCTCTAACGCGCACATTAATAATAATCGAAATGTGAGCGCAGCGACTATGCAACATAATGTGGAAGATTTACCAAATGAACCGACGATAATCCATTCGCATTTCGCTTCGACTTATTGTCACGGATTTTATTATCTGTGTGTTTTAGTTTAGTTTGTTTTCTAAATTTTTGCCTATACAGTATTCTTTTCGAGGACCCTTGATTTGGATACACTTCATCCGGGTCCGGTTATTGTGAAACTCCGACCACCATCGAGTCGTGAGAAAAAAGAGCTTCTCTCTTTTCTTCGCTCGGCTGGGTTGGATGTCGGACGTGTTTTTCCGTGTTCTCTGTTTTATGATGTTTTAAGTGTTTTTAACGGTGAGGTTGTATTGTATAACATTTTGGATAAGGATCCCAGTACCGGATTTAAAATATTTTATTGATGTATATTCATGGCTGATGGTATTCAGATGTGCGGTGTAACCCAGATCGTTAGCCGTGATCATTGTGTTGAAACAGTTCCGGCGTAGTCTTTACCGTGATTTTTATCGAACTCGTTTCTGTTACAATGCGTATCGTCAGGGAAAAATATTATGCGATTGTTTTTCGACCAATGTGTGAAATAATAACATTATACAGTCAGCATCAACCTCTATATTTCGACCATGTTTTTGCTAAAAAATATTTTCGTGGCAATAGGAGTACGCGTGCCTCAAAAATCAAAAGCATTTCAAATAAGATCATGGCAAATCGAGGCATGTTTAGCAAGATATTGGTGAAATATATGAATTTCATTTTCGTTGATTTTGTTGACCAGTCATAGAAGGCTGTCCACCTTTAAAAACACTTTGCATTTCATTTCAAAAATGATGAATGGCAAGAGGTTAGAGCTATTATGGAGAATGTTATTATTTAAACACAGGCAACTCGGGAAAAATTCGAGATTTGGATGGTGGGAGGACTATGAATTAGGGATGGGACAAGATTCGGATCCGGACTCGGATTCAAATCCATGCATTTTTGCGACTCGGATTCGATTTCGAGTCCACGCCATTTTTACCGAGTCCCTATTCAATTTTGTTTTACATAATTGACGCCTCCATTATGCGATTTTACCGTTATAAAAGTCAGTAAAGCAATAGTTTTACAAAATAATGTGATTCGTCACGTGAGAGATCTCTAAAAACATACGCACATATTGTATCACAGGGGCTTATCAGACATTTCAGTCATTTCGTCGCTAGTGACCATATCCCAATAAAAACATCAAGGCTACTTTTGGTGCGCGAACCAATAAATTACTCTTCGTAAACAAAACAGATAGGAGAGCATCCCCAAGGAAAAATTTATTAACACGTTTTAATTACAGTTTATTGCATGCAATTTGCTTCTTGAAAAATAAGAAAGCAAGAAAAATTTGCTAAAAGCAACGAAATTATGTGTGCTACTTGCGAAATAACAGTTTTATAGCTAATAGCATCTGAAATCATGCAAGCGTATTGTAGTCAAAATTGAGTTTCTTTAGATTGACATGCAAGAATGTTAAAATTTCGACGTTTTTTGGTTTCAGACGGTTACGTAACGGCGACGTTACAACGCCAGCTGTGCTAAAAAGACGCTCAGAATTGACGGAAGTAGGCGGGCATGAAAGCAAGCTTGCGGCTAGAGCGAACATCGCCTGGCATTCATTTCAGTATTGTGGCCAAAAAACAAGTGGAGACTTGTGCCTTTTAAGAGTAGGTGCAGCAAGATATTGCCTGACAGCAGTTACAATATCAGCATCCATATCCACCTGTTCCCTGACAAGACCCGCGTTCTCAGGTGCACCGAAGACCACACTATCTTCGGCCTCTTCTGATGATGATGATTGATATAATTCAGTCCCTTCGTAGAGTTCAACACTATCCGTGGCAAACTTCTTTACTTCAGTAACAAGCAGCCGTTCGATTTCTTGCCGATTGATAGTTGAGCACCATGACAACTTTAATCTTGGATCAAGTATTGTAGCCAATAAACAACGGTTATATGAGGCCTGGTTCTGAAAGTATGCGTCTCGGGGCTGAGGTCCATTTCCAGGAACGCTAAATCTCCGTTCTATACCACTTTTGAGGCTATTCAGAAAATTGTCGAGTCCATAAATATCGCTGTCACCAATGAATGCTTCCAATCTTTTCAACAAATTCTCTTTTACTGGTAGAATGCTTGCTATTGTCGCCTCCTCAGTACAAACTTCCTTGGTCGCTATGTCAAATAACTTCAAAACTCGAATTAAAGATGAAGCCATTCTCCACTGGTTAGGTGACAGAGTATTACCAATTCCCCTGAAGGACATATCATTAATAACTTCTCTCTGTTCCACCATTCGCTCCAGCGCGTAGTATGTAGAGTTCCATCTGGTACTCACGTCTTGTTGCAATTTATGTTCTGGTGCATTCAGCCTTTTCTGACATTCCCTGAGAGCACGAGCGTCGCGAGATGAGCGGTTATAGTGGGCAATTAGAGAACGGGCATCAGCCACGATATCTTTCACATCAATGTTTGATCTGATAGCGTCGTGAACGATCAAGTTCAAAGTGTGTGCCATACATCGGATATTAAAAATCTCCCCGTCCTTTAATGCCTTTATCACATTCGAGGCATTGTCGGATGTTATTGTAGCAAACGATACGCCCCACTCACTTTCTTGTCTTCGTATTTCTGACAGCAGCAATTCTGCGGTTTGCGAGCCCACGAGCTCAGAACAGGAAAGAACGGGCGTAACACGGTGTAAATCACCCTTGTTCCAGATAAGAAAATTGGAGGTTATACTCATGAACGAATCATTTTGAAGACTTGTCCATTCATCTGTTGTAGCACATATGGGTCCAACGGCACTTTTCAACAATTCCTTGATCTTATTTGTCACTTTATCATATATTCCTGGAACAACGGTGTTGGAAAAATATTTTCGAGACGGAATAGTGTATCTAGCATTCAGTTCTTTCACAAGCCGCAAAAACCCCACATTTTCCACCATCGAATACGGCATAAAATCTAGAGCAATCATCTCGCCAATTTTGGATGTTAAGCATCGAGAAACGGGGTGTGAATTGTCATACAATTTACGTTTTGACAAGGCTTCGACAATGGTGGGTTGGCGACTGCTGCATTCTGCAGCAGCAGTACTTTCGACGTTGACTCTCTTAGATCCATCTGGTTTTTCGAAAACCTGATGGCAAGTTGACAAGTGCTTAAGCATTGAACTCGTTGTATAAGAAGATTTGCATTTCCCACGACTAATTTTAGTTGCGCAAATGCCACATTCGGCCTTCGAACAGTCATCTTCACAAATTTTAAAATACTGCCACGCAAGTGACTTTGCTTTCGGTGATGACATCGCAACAGACAACCAGCAGAAGCGGAAACCTTCTTGAAGTAAAGTTGCCAAAAGCAGTCTAATTCCACCCGTAAATCTTATCAAAAACAATCAACCTTGAGTAGCTTATTATACAATCATCCAAAAGATTCACGCAATTAGTCGGTAACTGAGCTGTACGCGAAGCATGGCAAGAAAACAGTACGTCACCGATCGCGCATTGTTGCGTCACAATTGAAACCGTGTTTTTGCCGTTTTCATTGTGACGTCACGGACTCGGCGGATTCGACTCGAGTCCATGACCTATTACTCGGATTCGCCGAATCTCTGTAATGCCGGACTCGTCCCATCCCTACTATGAATGCGCCTGATGACGAGAAGCTCTCCTGTCTAATTTTATTATCGGCTCTTAAAACAGGATTTCCCACGATTTTGGAACATAGCCAGTCGGGACCCGGTTCCTTGGGTTTTCCATGGATACAAAGTTTCTTACAAAACGTTTTTTCATCCTAGTCTGGCTATGTCATGATAGTCTTCTCCCTGAGGAGCAAAACGATTTTTGCACCGTTTTCACCAAGGTCTTCCGGGTCACTTTATAAATTAGTTATTTCTTCATCTACAACTGCTACCGATTTATTATTTAAGTTCGCGGTTTTCTGATTCTAAGGAATCTGGAATCTCCCAAAGTTCAGGCGGAATAGGGTGTAAATCCACTCTAACCAGGCTTAGATTTATCAGCAGCATCATTTTCCTTTTTTATGTTTTCATCCTTTTCAGGCTGTCTATGTGATGATACAGCCACCGATGTAACTTTAGTGAAACTTTATATCTCAGGCGTCTGTTTTGCAGGAGAGCTAACCTGAAGCTCGCTTCTCCGTTCCTCATCAGGTGTTATTGATGGGAACTCGGTGCACTCTCGCTGCACATGTCTAGAATTCTTGCAAAGACGGCAGGACGGCGGCACTGTGAACTCCCTGGCAAAATGACCTGCTTGAAAACAGTTTAAGCAGTCTTGGTGTAAAGTTCGGGTGGCAAGTTGGTTTTACACCGTAGTCCACCAACATAAAAGAAATCGGGGAAGTTAGACTTCTTGATTAATGATTGCTTGTACGTATCCATTGTATACCTTGGTGTTTTTAAGGTATACTTTATGGACTCGCCGTCCTTTTTCACAATCCAATGAATTCAGAAAAAAAATTATTTGTTCCTGCGTGGCCGCCGTTGGTATGCCTCGCACACTGATACGTGTGCCAGGGCCACGAGGAAGAAAGAAATTTATTAAGCCTAGAAGGGTATCAAATTGATTTCCAACACTATCTAGAAATTTATTACTTGTTGGATCCCCGTTCGTGGGGTGGAACGTTTCAAATGCCCTGACTGATGGGGAAGAGGCCGCCAACTAAAGGCTTATATTGACGAAGCTTATCAACAATGGTAAAAAGCTGAAACTGTCGAGATGTGTCTGGTTGTCATGACATCGATCGACTCGCCGCGACTAACTGCAACGCCTCTCGCGTTTGCTACCTTAGGTAGAGAGAGAGACAGCAACGCTGGCTTTGGCGTCGAAGAAGATGAATGTGCAGTCGGCACGACGATTTCCCCAGCAGGTGGTTGCCTGCCAGAGACACCCTGACGTGAGTCAGTGCCTAGTGTCAGTTACTATCTTTTTTTTAAATAGTAAGCCTTGACCCACATACTTACGTCTTTTCAGGGAACGCTGGTAGATATTCTTGTCTTTTTTTTAACCTGAAACAGGGGTTATTATTACAGCATCTTAGAACGCGAGAATTTCCTTCGTTAGATGTTATACCCAGAAACTCAGAGAGTATTTCTTTCCGATTTGCATTCGCTTCATATTGAATTACATCCCCATACCTCATCTCGCGTTGCAAAAGATGCTGGTAGAACCACCTATAGCGAATTTTATAAAATTATTAATCTCGTTTGTCTTGGCATATCAATCTTCTTTATCGAGAACCTTTTTCATCTTGATTATCTGAATTAAAAATTTTGAAGACAGATGATTTGCAACTAGTGCTACAAGTTTTAAAAAATTCTCCCATGGGAGCACTTGAGCTGATCGAATTTACAATATTAAGAATTCTCGATGACATGCCAAGCCAAACGTTACATTCGAAGAATATATGCTGGGTGGTGGCCTTCCCAGAGTTACAGAACTTGCAGTTAAGCTTCAGCAGACGGTTATTAATTTTATCAGTGGCGGCGCGTCAATAGGGCCAACCGGGGCAATGCCCCGGTTGTTTTTTCGGTATAATAAAAAATATTCGAAAAATACCTCAATATCGGTTGCACAGACTGTCTACACTAGCCATATTCTCCCGACATGGTTCATTTTTCGCTCGCAAAGCCTTCGCCGAACGTCGACGCCGATTTTGCCCCGGTTGCTCATTGTATATCGTATTCTCTCTTTTATCTTCCACTCGCCACGTGTGTCTCGTTTGTTTTCTGTTTCTTTTACTAAATCATCGGGGCTAGCCCCGAAATTATGACGACACAATGCCGACGTTTCTTACAACAACGTGTTGACATATTCACGCATTCCGTTCGTTAGTTGCTTGAAGAGTTGGTAGTTTCCTCGCCTTCGTTTTTGTCGCTTGTTTCGCTACTTGAATCAGTTAGAGACCTTTAGTCCATTTGCTTTCGATTTTCCACATTCCTTTTGAGCTCCTCACTTCTTTCCGGCTTCGCATTTCTTAGCCTTAGACCTCATAATGAATAAGGTTGATGCACTACTTCGCACTCCGTTTTCGCAGCTGCCGCTGGAACAAAAATTAGAGGTACAACGTCTTGGGCCTTATCAACCAAAAAATTGTTCACTGGAACAATCCCATGACGGAGGAAAGCGTCGGCGTACATTCTGCGCAGAAACTTGGTATAAAAAACACGAATGGTTGTGTTACAGCGAGGTCAAAAATGCACTTTTTTGTTTTTATTGCCTACTTTTTGCTACCGCCCGTGACTCACGTTGGTGTAAATTTGGTTTTAGAGATCTTAAACATCTTTCCGAGCGTGCCAGGAATCATCAATCTTCTATGGAGCATCTGGACAATGCAGTAAAATACCGAACATTCGGAAATGTTAATATTGCAGCACAGTTGGATGAAGAACGCGCAGTTTTTATTCGTCGGCACAACCAAAACGTCGAAAAAAACCGCCATGTTCTCGGTCGATTGATAGATGTTTTGAAGTTCATTGGTTGTCACGAGCTGTCCCTCCGTGGGCACGATGAACGGGCTGGCTCTTCTTAATAGATGGGTATTTTTGGATATGGTGGAATACACCGCATCCCTAGATACAGTATTGAGAGATCATCTTGATGCCGCAACTGTTTCGAAAGGGACATCTAAGGATATCCAAAATGATTTGCTCCACTCAATGTATAAAATTTATTTACAACATTTGGCTCTGGAAATTGAGAATTGCCAGTTCCTTTCGATTCAGTCTGACGAGACAACTGACATCACGTGCGTTTCCCAACTGGCTGTGATTTTCCGATTTGTGAAAGATGGTAAACCTACCGAGAGATTTCACAGCTTTGTACCAATCGTTGATCGCACGGCTTTCGGGATATCGGCTGTACTGAAAGAAGTGTTACAGCCTTACAACGCGAAGTCAAAATTGATAGCTCAAACTTATGACGGCGCGGCAGTCATGAGTGGGTCGAAACATGGTGTTCAAGTTTATATAAAAGAAGATTTTCCTCATGCGCATTTTTTACATTGTTATGCACACCAATTTAACCTCGTTATTAAAAATATGTGTCTTGATACCCCTCTCGTCCGTATAATTTTTGCAAATGTTTCGGGGTTTTCTTCATTTTTTTCCGTTTCGCCGAAGCGCTCTGACCTCCTTCGCCAGATATGTAGCCGCCATCTCCCAGCTTGTGCACCAACACGTTGGAACTTCCAATCACGCGTGGTGCAGGGCGTGTCCGAAATTAGGTCTGAGCTCATTGAGTGTTTCAATGGCATTCAGAGCTCTCCGGTTTGGGACGAACGCTCTGTGAGGGAGGCGGCAGGTCTAAAGCGTCTGCTAGAAGATGGTGAGTTTTCATTTTTTCTCGCTTTTTTCTCCACAATATTCTATCACGTGGATGTATTATACGGCGCATTGCAGTCAAGGCTAATGGATGGAGCGTCTGTGCAGTCGTGTATTTCAGACTTCTTCGATGCTGTATCTCGTATCCGGGAAACAATAAAATACGACGACACATGGAGTGCTTCTTTACGCCGCGGGCAAACAACGCAGCGTTTGCTGTGACATTCTGGTGAATCAAATAGGCGATCGTCTGCGCACTGAACACCTTGCCGCGTTCTCTTTGATGAACCCCAAAAATTTTTCAAAATTTGCACGTCAATTTCCCATCCATTTGTTGGCTACTGTTTCCAAATTTTACCCCATGATAAACGTGGGTAAATTGGAAAATGAATTGCGATGGATATACACCAATTAAACTTTTTTGAACATCACGTCAACTTGCGCGCTCTATGGGTTCCTCATAGATAACACTCTAGTAACTACCTTTGCGGCGTCTGCAAAATTTCTGGACATCATTTTGACGACGCCTATTTCTTCCGCCGACGCAGAGCGAACATTCAGCACGCTGAAGCGTATTAAAACGTATCTCAGAAACACAATGAAGCAAGATAGATTAAATTCCTTGGCTGTTTTATCCATTCACAGAGACGTTATTTCTGGGATGCATGACTTTAATCAGCGCGTTATTGAGCATTTTGCTTCCAAGAAACCGCGGCGTGTTGCATATATGTTCAAGCAGTAGAAGTCTAGCAGCATATATATCTATGAGTGAGCGACGCATGTCCTTATCTTTGCATTAACTTTCCTTTCTTCATAGTAACGTTTTAAACCTTATTTTAGGTTTTGTCTGCTTTCCCGAAGTTTCTGTTAATATGTCATTGTATTTATCTGGGTAAATATTGCCTTTCCTTTTGAAAGAGGTTTCAAAATAAACTATGTCTATATTTATTAATCCCTTGACT